CAACTTGAAGTACCAACCTGAGATGCCATGCCAATCGTACGACAACAGCTGTACGACCCAGTGCACCACACGCTGTATGGCATTGGAAGAAGGAGGCAAAAGTGTTGCTGATTCCAAGTGCTAGCAACTCCTACAAGTAACAGAAAGGAATACCATGCCCATTGTTGCTCCACAACATGGATACTCATGCTGATTTTGGGAACATCAACTAGTTGGCGATGCATGAATAAGGGAAATCAGCCCCAGTAGAGCTGCTGGGTAATCGGGCACGACTGCAACCGGCAATTTTACCTGACAGTAATTCGAACAGAATGATTGCTCATTTGATTGCACATTTGTCTATTGATATAACATCCACGTGGCAGAGCAACCGCACAATTGGAAATCTTATTGTCATGGCAGCTCAAACGTCTAACTTTCAGCTCTGCTTTGACACCAGATTGACGATGACGCATGTCTTTTCAGCCTCTTGATATTACTACACCCATTAAAGCAGTCCTTATGGAGCTACCTCAACACTTCAGTGCTTGATAACATCTTCACGTGTAACTCCGACAGTATGGGACTAGTCCTAAAGTATTTAGCAGCATGACATTTCAGAAGGGTCATTGACAGGTAAAGGTCTATCCAGTTGGATGTTCCTTTGCTAACCTGGTTATCGAGCACGTCGTAGCCAAATTCCGAAGCGTAGGTCTTCACCAGTCCAGCATTGATAGCAAAGACGATAATTCCTATGACAAAGGTGTCCGATACGAGGTCTGCGAAGTGGGCGAATGTTGGAACAACTGGTGCAGGAAGGCTGTTCAAGGTCAAAAAAGCACGGATTTTATCCAACGCTACCACCTTTCACCATTATTAACTTCATACTTCAGTCGATAGCAAGGATAGACAACAGGGAGTTGCACAAACAATCCATTCACCATTTGAAGCAAGAACAGCACGTTTACCTTCTCCCTTAACCCCTCTGCATTTCCCACAGCAATCACCTGACTTGCTCTTTCAGTGACCTCTCGATTACTTTCAACCCAAGGATGCGCACTTGCACAATGAATTGGACACGAGTCAATGATTACATCTTCATGCAGCATGGAGGTCGCTTCCTTGGTTGGGGCTGTGGCACACCTGCATGTTTTCATTGCTAGTTAACAGTAGCAACTCCTCCCTCTACCTCTACCTCTCACTCCCCGCCGTCCACTCGCATTCCCTCTTCGCAGCTCCTTAGACATTCTTCCAAACTGACGTATCTTTCCAAATCAGATTAAGTGAGTTGACCACGCTCATTAGTAGCTACAGTAGGAAAACCCCATGAAAACGAACAACACTTCTTCCTCCATCGACTGCATGCCACAAATTAATGCGACAGTGAAACGGGGTATATTGGGCATTCCTACATCGGCGAAGGATCCCAACAGAGCTGCTTCCAATTCACATTGGCTTCTGGGCAACTCACCCATCTCCAGTTCTGAAGTGTGGACAGCAATGAACTAACACCTAATATCAACACCTGCAGTATATTCATCCAAGGAACACTTACGGTCTCGCTACAACCACACTGATTAACATCACCATCTGAGAATACGATACTGCCTTCCTCATGTCGCTTTTAAGTGCAGCAAAGCAGTGATTGGCATACGGAATGTACCGCTTGTACAACATCATCCGGTCTCCAGTAACAACCCCCACAATAAACTTCTTCCTGTTGCAGCTCACCTCTCAAAGTAGGAAAATCTATGTTCCATTCTCTTCTC